TTTTCCAACCGAGCGATTCTGTGTGTGAAGTCTAAAGTAAGCAAAAAGAATATCATTAAGTAAAAATATTTCAAGACTGTAAAATTAAATTAGCTTTAAGTAACATAGGTTAGTATTTTCTTGGCCTGATAACTTTTCCTTTTTTTTCTGGAGAGATAAGTAGGTACTTTTTTAGAGCATATACTTTACATTTAACTATTGCCATAAAAATTTTCCACTACAAAGCTTTTGTTTTTCTTTGAAGACACCTGTCTTTTGGTATACAGTGTTGGATATCAAACTGGTTCTCATCGCTTGATTATTTTTTTAATTTTTATTATTTTGTTTTTAAAGCTGAGGATGGTGCTCTCTTGGGAAAAATTGAAAAAGTGCGGGTTCTTCGAAATGATCGCCGAGAAGGTAGGCTTCTTCTTGGGGAAGGAAGATACAAATTCCACTTTCTGCCTTAGCTGTTAATTTTCTTCTAGTCTAAAATTTTAAAGGAACGTTCTGCTATGTATTCCATATTGGAGGAGGTATTTTCACTTTATAAATCAACTTACTAGTGGAAGGAATAAAACCTAGTGCATTTGTACAGGTAAAAACAGTAGTTCTGAATAATTCCATGTTGTTGTGTGTGCAATTGTCCATTGTTGGCTTTCACAGTGAACGCTGACTCGAGAAATCGCCTTTGACCCTCAAGCTCTCCTTTCTCTTACTGTACTGAGTCCTTAGTTAAGCTGCTCCCATTATACACAAGGTCTCACTGTGAACTGTGTGAATGTTTGAAATGATCCAGCGTAAAAATAGCCCCCTCTTTTTTGCTGGTTCCCTTACTAGAGATCATCTTAAGGATCCAGTTAATGGACAGCCTGGCAGTTTCTTTTGGCAGACTTGAGAGGGTTTGAGCAGCCCTGGCTGGGACCACTTTTATGCCAGTTTTGCTGAAGCCAGTGTGCCATGTAACAAACTTGTCTTACATTTGTTTTCTTCTTTGTTGCTTTGTAAATTGCGGTCTCATCTCACTGAGCCCTTCAGTCAGCAGCTTCCTGGCTATGGAGCTTAACGTATTAGATACAGGCAACTGTTGTTCTACAGCTGTTCAAAATAATAACTGAGAGTTGACAGTTGAGATAGCTGACTGAATTAGCAGATATGTGCTTGTTTATTTTTATAAGCGCTATATCTTCTAGGCTGTCAGCCTGGCCTGGAGAGCAGCTAGAATCAGTAGATTGTCAGAAACTGGAAGTGACATGCACAAAACCTGTGTTACAGTTATTGCAAGCTGACGGGTTCCTAATGTTTAGATATTTTGTTTGGAATATACTGGTGAAGAAAGGCTTGTTAGGAAAGTAGGCCTGGTATGACTTGCCATGGTTGCAGGGTTCTGAGTAAGTTCATGTCACTTTTCTGATCAGTACAGTGCTTAAAGATGTAATAGTAATTGAAAAAACTGAAAGAAGTAGCACTTCTTTGATTTTTATTTTTAGTCATTATAAATATTAACTTTGTACCACATATACAGATTCATACTTTAAAATATGCAACAGTATATCTGAAAATGAAATACTATTTGACAGATCTTTTACTATGTCAGAAAAGAACAACTGTTTGCAGTTTAAAGGTACAATACTAGTTTACGTGGTATTTTTGAGATTAAATTATTACTCATGGTATCTACTGGACTGTTCATAAAGTATTGCCTAGGCATCCATATGTGCAACGAGGTGATCTTTTTTGTTAAAGACTGTAAAATTTAATTTGACTACTGGCTTGCTATGCTTGAGTTGCTTTTCATTTTCACATGTAGTATCATACTGATACCTCAGACACATACAAATTAAAATTTAAGAGAATCGGTAAAATCAACCAGTGTGTAGATGCTAAGAGTAACACAGTAGCATGAACAATGGAGGAAAGCAGTGTGTTCTAAAACAAGAAATTGAAATAAAGGGATGGTGCCTGTGGAGGGGATGGCGTTGACTGCCTCAGTTTAAGAAATAAGTGATAGCGGCTTTTAGTCTCATCTGTAGGACCCGGGTTTGATAAGGGAACAGATGTGTTTTGGAGGGTGTGGTAGGCTACAGAATAACTGTTCAGTGCAACCTTCTCAACTCCGTGTTGTAAGGCTGGATGTGATTGTAGAAGACTCAGTGGCCCAGCTGGTCAACCTCCATTTGTTTTCCCCTAAATCTGAAATTGGAAACACAGGTACGTGTTTTCTATGGAAGCAGAGCAAGACAGTAGGTTCTATTGTAAGAATGTAAGTTAGGAATAATAACTCTGGAAGAAGGAGTTGCAAAAGTAAAACAAGTAGCCGAGGTGCTTAAGGAATGGTTTGATGTGGATAAAGTGAATAGAACAGGTTTTAAGGTTGGAATTAGGGAGACAGCGTTAAAAAAATGAGGTATAGTTAGCTGCCAATGTGCCACAGATAAGGTGTAGAAAGTGCTGTTGGAGATCATCAGCACAGTGCATAACTACAACAGTGAAACACTTATATTAGCGGTAAGAGAGAGAAGGATCTTGATGAGGCTGTTGCTGCATGCTGGACAGAGCAAACCAGGTTTTTTTTTTCTCTTAAGAGTTTTGTATTCTGTTTGGCAGAGTCATGTTTTGCAGGTTCATTTTGTAAAGGAGATGGAAAGAAATGAGGTTTGGCTCTATTATAATGTTTCAGTTGGGGAAGAGAACAGAACAGATTTGGTGGGAAATGATGTAGGG